TTAAAAAGGGGGGTGGGTGGGTGGGTAGGTATTCCAACGGGAAGAACACTGAAGGGGAAAAATATTACCATCTCCTGAGGTATTTTTCACAGAGTGATTGAATTAAAAAAACTCAGCTTGCATTTTCATTGTGGGTGCTTAGAGAAGCTGCACAAACTGTGAAGGGCCATGCTTCTTAGCCGGCTTTTGCGTTTTCTGACTATCCCTGATTTCCTTTTGGTCTAGATGAAGATCCTGTGTCAAGTAAAATAAAAGGGTTAAAGCACCCCATCAAAGAGAGGCTCATGACTTAAAATCTGACTCTGAGCCGCTGAGTTCAATACTTAAGGCTTTGCCTGACTTCTTAGGGTGCAGTGACTAGGGTTTGAGTTTTCCTTTCTTGAGACACTGATACAAATGCCAGCAAATGGTCTGTGTTCCACCCTCCTCCATGAGCTTGGAAAAGTTTGGAGTCCCGTGTTATTAGTATTGAATACCTTAACATCATACACCTGACCCCAACAGGCCTTCTCTCCATGGACCATGCTTTGGAAAAGGAAGGGATGCAAAATGTCAAAATCCCAAGAGCATAGAGCTGAAAATTGTTAGCCAGGGTTCAGTGGAATGTTTCCTGTGTAATCTTAAGTGTTTTTGTCAGAAATGTGGTCCAAGTTCTGGCCTAAACTTCTAAAAGTAAGCAGGAAGTGAAAATTTAACTAGCTTCCCACTGCAGTTGTGTTGATTTATTCTGAATGAGAACCAAAATCAGCTTCTCTTTTCAAGAACTTTAAACAGAGGTCTAAAAATGCAGAAAGTATCATTTTATATTCCCAAATCTATATAACTTTAAAAGGGACATATTTTCTTAGCCAGATATGAATACCTCTTAGACATAAATTCCTTCCTGTAGTGTAAAATATTTTATTTTACCAACCCATTTCAGGAAAGAAGTTCTGCTGACTTGATAGCAGAAATCTTATTTTTATCCCTTTTATTTGAATAGGAGATTTGGAAATTGACTTATGTAAATATTTCAATGCATCTGATACTATTTTGTGAAGTTTATTAAACTACTTTAAAAGATTGTACAGTCTATTTATTGTATGTGTGTACATACAGTTCGATACCTGACATCCACAGTGATTCCTTACAGCCTGGCTCAGTCCTGTACAGACTGTTGAATATTGTTTTAAAGCCTTGTGCACTGGACTCTACCTCTGTATAGGAAACTTTTCCGTACTCATTAATTAGTATTACTCTGTGTTAACAACGTATGTTTCTTGCACTAAGGATTTGAGTTGTACCTTTCAGTCTGAATCACTGGGAATGTAAATAGATACCACAGGTTCATTTCATTTTTCTACTCGATGATGAAGACTTACTTTTTGTTCTCTGATTTGTTCTAAGTTTGCCAAAAGAAAAAAAAAGAGAGAGAGAGAGAGAGAGAGAAAAAAAAGAAAGAAAATCTAGTAGTGTATGTATTGCTAAATCTTCATGACTGTAACTAATTTGCAGGTTGATTTGGTGTGACAGGAGCACTGTCTGGTGCAGCTTTGAATGAAGAGCTCACTGGTAAAAGATGAAGAAAGCCACAGTTTGTTGACTTTAATTTTAGATTTGACTTAAACAGCAAATAAAGTAGTTGGGGAAATAAACACATCCCAGTGAGTTTTGCTTTATTTTTTTCAACCGGGAAATCTGGGTTTAAAGCATGCTTGGGGGTAAAGGTAAGACCCTGAAGGCCCACCTCCGCCTTCGTGCATTGGGTGAGGCAGGCCACAGCCTCTACCTGAAGCCTGCTCAGACTAGCTCTTCTGTGTTTCTTCTTCATAGTCTTTGCCTGGGGCATCTCCATTTTAGGATTTCCCTGGGTTCAGGAGATTTTTCTGTTTAGCTGAGCTTCAAGGCAGAATTTGGGGAGTCAGTGGTTTTGAGTTTTCCTGATGCTTTTGTTAACCCAAGCCTGGGGCCAAGTTTAAGGCTTTGAGTCTTTTTAAAATCCTGGTTCATTGTAGGTATTTAATAAGTGTTAAATAAATAGATATGAACATAGAAAAAATAGTGTCTGCCTTCCAGCTATATATTTTTAGTTACGATGCGATAAAATCAGACAGGTCTGCTGGATGTTGTAGCACCTGCCTGTAATCCCAGTGAACATAGCTGAGGCAGGGGGATCATGAGTTTGAGACAGGTCTGGGCTATAGTAAGATGCTGCCTCAAAAAACAAAATAGAAGGTTTATGCGTTCTGAGCAAACTAATTCTAAGAGCAGTGGGAGGAAGCACATTAGCCCTGTGAGTCTGTAGTGATTCGCTAACTGTGAGACCCACTTGAAGACCCAGCAGGCGAGACAGTTGCCCAGCAGGAATGGAATAGAACACATACTTTCTTAGATGTTGTTTCTGTCTTAAACCACTGTCTCCCTGGCCTTCTGGAGTCCTCATCTCAAGATTGAGACTGGATGGTTCTTATATGGGTGGCCCTCTGAAAAGCCAGCTGACAAAGAGAAGGAAAAGGAAGTGTGGCCTGGAGCTGCTGGGAAAAGAATGCTTAACAGTTTAGGCTTGAACTTGTAGCTCCTATGCTTCAGGCCCCATCACAGAGGTAAAGGCAGTTAACTGAATGCACTGACACCAGAAACAAACTGGCCCCAGGCTACCTATTAGGTACATCCAGATGAGTGAGTCAGTGAGGATGATGTGGTCATAGTACTGGTGACTTGACCAAGCCAGATTCCTCCATGCTACTTTTTAGAGTTTCCTACTGAGTTTGTACATGTGAAGGCCACATGTCCTCTGGTGCCACTATTAGAATTTTTTTTCATTGAGCAATACAGAAATCACTTTCATTGCTGATGTAAAAGCTACTGAAGCTGCTTTGTGTGTGCAGTGCTGCAGGGTAAGCTGTGCCCAAGCCAGGACTTGTTTCTGACAAATATGTAGAATGTTCTGTAAGAACCTATTACAGTAAAAAAAAAAAAAAAAAAAAAAAAAAACCCTCACACATGATGTCTGACTGAATGCCATTTGGGTTTTACAGGTCCCAGTAAACCATCTTGTATCCTTTTGTGATTTGTTTGGGGGTAGGGACCTTTATTCCTTTTGGGAACTTTTGTTTATATAAGTTATTTCAAATGTGCAATCAAAGAATGTCATCTCAAAATAAACACAGTTTTGAACAAAAGTATTCATTGTGACTTGAACTCATAACATTTTGTTAATGTTGATGTTGATCTGTGTTGTTATGGAATCTTGAGCTTTAGTCTGAGTCTAAACTTGGATGGATTAGCTTCACATGTGACCTCTTAGCCAACCTGGCTATCAGAGGTGCCCTTAGTAGTACTGAATACAGTGCCCAGCAGTTCCTGTGGGACACATTCCTGCATACCAGTAGGAAGGCTAGACCCAATTAAAGAGAAACACAAACCCACCCAAGGGATGTTGGTGGGCTTTTGCAAGTAAGGTCCCCTTCCTAGAGAGGGTGGCACTGGTCAATGCACAGTTCTTACTTAAAGGCCTGGCTGTTCTGGAGTCAGCCATGTTTTGTCCTTCAGCTCTCCTACTGTAGCCATTGTTGAGCTTCTCCTCAGGTTCATCTTTACTGAATCTGGCTTGTGAGTTCTTGTCTGGGTTGGTGGATACTGGAGATACCAGAACAATGAGGTTGGATCAGTATGATTTCACCCCAGGGTGAAGCTGATCTGAGAAAGGTGCTCCTTTCCAGGTCTGTAGGCCAGAACACAGCCTGGAAGCCCAACCTTGGAAGAGAAGACTTTTCCCTTGTGCCATGTCCCACCTATCCAGAGGGCCAAGCTGCAGCCACTTGCAGGCATTTTTCACATCTGCCCTTGAGCACTAGCTATTGAAGTATATGCTTAATATCTTGCATTTGGGGTATACCTGAGAGCAGATACACTCCTGGGAAAGGCCAGCATTTGGGAGTAAAGCATGGGAAAGTAACCGTGCAGGGTGAGGACCTCGTGTGCAAGCGTCAGTGACAGCATTGGGTATGTGCTTGGCAAGTGCCAAGGTTTCACTGGATTCTACGTTTATTCATCTTCACACAATCCCTGAGATTTCCAGGAGACTTCTAGAGACAGTTAACAGGAGTCTTCACCCAACGAATGTTCAAAAACAAGTACAAATTGAGAGTAGGGCAGAGTATGAAATACTTCCCCGTCCAATCACGTGCAGCATCAAGTGCTGCATGGTGGCCTCCTGAGAAGGCAAAACCCAAAGCATTCGAGAATATTCCCTAGCACATGTGTATTTGCCGAGTAAGTAAATTTTAATGTAGGCTTTAGCTAATGCTTCTGTTTCATTCCGCAGCTGCTTATTTTATTGACTCTGGACGTTGCTGAACACGACTGGTGTGGCTCAGTACAGTGCACACAGACAAGGTTTTCCCAAGTAGGCTCATCAACAAATAGCTTCAGCTGTATACTTTGGAATATGATGTGACAGTAAGAGGGGGTAGCTGGGTGAAAGTCAACTT